CTCATGACTGTGAGGAGAGTGCCCCTCCACAGAGACTGACTTGGCTGGTCCCTGGGGGAGGCCAGGGCAGAGTGCAGAGAATTAGAAGTGTGGTTTAAGGTTGTTAAATTCAAAGAATTCAAAGAATTGGAAGGTGCAAACTGTCAATGGTTTCTATATAAGTTGACAGCTGTTTTAAGAAATTCCTGTAATGAGCCATCAGAAATTTCCGCGACAGACTCTCCCGTAGTATTCAAATAATGCTTACGAGGTTAGTGAAAGATTAAAGTCATATTAACAGAAGCAGTAAACTTTTGGTTCTTGAAGCAGTCCTCCCGCCCCACAGCCAAGGCTTTTAAGCCTAGATAAAGTCAAATTGAAAAGTGCCAAAGGTAGCCGCAGATTTTACCCTCTCACCCACACAGGAGACAGCAGGACTCAGGAATCCACCAGGCCGAGGAGAATCACCAAACCAAAGGCACCTTGTCCCTAGTGTCAGATTGTTGGATCTGCTTCAAAGCAGGATACATTGAGTTACTGAAGGTGTCAGGGAGCCTGTGGAGACTTTGCCAGCCAACCAGGGAAAGCAGTTGGGGTTCCTAAATTTAGGGTTTGGAATCTGCGTGGGTTAGTGATGGGTGAGTGACTGAACTTGTGCTTGTTGACATCCAGGCTGTTAGGACTGGACTTTTCAGGGGCTCTGAAACCTGCACCTTCCCGGGAAATGAAGCCCTTGTCTCTGTGCTGCTTCCTTCAGTTCTCTTTGAGGAAGACTTAAACTTGTGGAACAGGATGACATTGAGTAGTGATCTTTGCATCTTGGTTTCAGGTTCTTTAAGCTTTATGCAGACATATTTCAGTTGGCAATGCATGTGCATTATTTGTGCTATGGGAAACAGGTGATACGTTTTCCTCCCTCCTTCTGAAGTTTGCCTATCTGGGAGTTTCAACTTGACGTGCATTTAGCCTCTCACAACCCCAAAGGTGACACTTTTAGAGGGTATATCTTTGACACGTCACCTGGGACCCCAGTTTTGTTTTGGTGTTAAAAGGTGGTAACACCATTGACTGTGGAAGCCAGAAAGCATGGAAGTTTCTTTGACCTGGTCTTAAACACCGTGGGCTTAGTGTTAGTGTGGCTGGAAGAGAGGCTGTGATCTGAAATTTGTGTAATTAAAGCAAGTGATTCAACATGTTTTTAAAGGTCCGTCGCTGCCGTTGGTCAGCTGGTGGGAGGATCACGCTCTTTTTTTCCTAAGCCTTGGGCACCTGGAAAGGCAGCAGGAGCCTCTTAGAATCTGCTCTTGGCGCTGGGACTAGAGGTTCCATCTGACCCAGCCATCCCTCTTCTGGGTATCTTTCCAAAAGAATTAAAAGAATCATACCGCAGTGACATAGTGCACCTATGTTGATAGTGGCACAGTTTGTAATAGCTAAAACTTGTAAACAGCCCATTTGCCCATCAGTTGGAAACTGGATAAAGAAGATGTGGTTTTTCTATAACATGAAATACTACTCAGCCATAAAGAATGAGACATTAGAGTCATTCATAGGAAAATGGATACATATTATGGATATACTCCTAAGTGAAATAAATAAGTCACACGTGTATAAATACCAAATAGTTTCTATGGTGTGAAAAACTATAATAGTACACAAGATCCTAATGGGATAATTAACAATGTGAAATAGGAAGAAAAGGGCTAAAGGTGTAGGGAAAGTGGGAAGGGTAGGGGAAAGGGAATAAGGGAAAAGAAAAAAGTATGAGAAAATGAAAAAATGGAAAAAAAAGGTGTTTGTAAATGGGGATGGGGGGTGAAGGGAGGGCAGGGACAAGGGGAAAAAATGAGAACCAAGACCTGTCATGTCATGTAAAGGTACAAGATCCCAGTAATGAATGTAACTGTACTGCATACCTAGAATGTACCAATAAACTCAGTAAAGAGGAAAAAAAATTAAAAAAAAAAAAGAATCCACTCTTGGTGTTTTGAATGTGCACAGCAACTGTGAGCAATAATAACTGTGACTGTAACTCTGAGGCCCAGACTCCTGTTTTGTTTCTTTGAGTCTAATGCAACTAACTTAAAATAACGATCCGTGTCAACCATGTCAGTGAAAACTAGAGTTCTGTTTCACATTTTATAGAAAAGCGGGACAAAAACTAATCTCTAGGAGGTGTCTACTCTGGCACCAGGCAAAAGGCTTAGCTCATTCTATCTTTAGGGCTCAGTTCACCAAGAAAGATGTTGAAAGCCGTGAGGTGCCTAATTTCTGGAAAGAGCCTCTCAGAGTTGCTCAGGGGGCACTGCTGAGGTTTATTTAGGTAGTAAGACTTCATGTAGGCTGCTGGGGTGGGGGGCTGTGGCACCCTGGCCCCACCTACTCCGTGTTAGTAGGTCTCCTGGTCCTGGCAACCCTCAAAGTGCACCCGCTGCTGTCTCCAGATTCTTCTTCTAAAAGACTGCCCTGCAGTTGCCACCTGCAGTGGGTGCTCTCAATAAATACTTCTGATGACAGCTGATGAGTGGACCTGACTCTGAGCTTCTGTTTCAGTAGGGTAGGACATTCACTCCCTAAGCCAGCTTTGTGTTTTTCTTACCTAAGATTTACCTAGCTTAAGGCATGCTTAAGAAATAGCAAGTATTTATCCTGTACTATAATTGGAATATAGCTTTTTTATTAAAACAAGTATCAATGAGGTATATTCTATATAGTCAAAGGCTCCTTTTTACTTGCCTTTTTAAGCATTACGGCATCATTCATAATACAGTAAAATCTTAGTTTGCAACAGTAGTTCCTTCCGCTCGCAATCCAAAGCATTTATATACCAAAGCAGAGAGAAGATCCAGTTGTTACCCTGTGACGTTCATTATCACGCGCTACTCATATTACAAGGTTTCACTCATTTATCATGTTTAAATTTCTTAGAGATGTTTGTCTGTCTTGTGGAATACTTGCAGACCAAGTTACTTACAATCCAAGGTTCGACTGTAGTTGAAAATATAGTGTATTTCATCATTTTTAACATCTTTTTTCAACATATTTTTCTACACAAGGTTTTCTATAAGAATTTATGAAAATGCTGACTAATTCAAATAGCTTGAAATCTACTTTTCCCTAATTATTAAAGTAGTAGTTGATTGTCAGCGAAAACATAGACATTGTATCTTCTTTGAAAGTAAATATAGCCAGCTGGCTGTATTTCTTGGCAAGAGTAAACTGATACCAGAAGTATTGTCCTTACCCATTCTTTAGTCATGTTATATTTACCAAGTGTGACAGTTTCTGTGGACTTCCTGTCATAGATGGATTCTCTTGTACTTCAGTGACAGAATTGTGAGATTTGGATTTATTCATTCAGTTTTTTCCATGTGCTAGAGATCAACCCCAGGACCTTGGGCATGCTAGGTGGGTGCTCTGTCAACAAAGCTACATCTTCAGACCCTGGATTCATTCACCCAGTAAATATTTACTGTTCCTGGGCTCTGTCAGTAGGTAGCACAGATACTGATCCCTGGTTACACACTAAAATGATTTTAACAAATAAATTACAAGTCAAATCAGAAGGCACTAATTGTGTACTATGAAAACCGAAGTTGGTAAGAAATATTTGTCAAGCTGCTATATTCCAGGTGCCATTTTAGGAGCAACATGACCTTTGTCATATGCAAAAGACCCTTCTCATGACTGGAGTAAGAGTGTGCAGAGTAAAGGGAGGCTGCTGCAGGCCACGCCTGCAAACTCACTAACCTGACCTTTTTTTTTTTTTTTTGGTACCAGGGATCGAACTCAGGTCCTTGTGCTTGCAAGGCAGTCGGAGAAACCACTGAGCTAAATCTCTGGCCCCACTAACCTGACTTTTTGCAGGCATTTTAGTGTAATGACACTTGTCTTTGTAAGTTTTTTTAAGCGAGTAATTTCACTGAATTTTAGGAAATGGCAGGAATTTTCAAAAGGAATTAGAAGGGAGAAAAAGGGTGACTGTAGAGTGAGCTTTGGGCCCGGGTCCAGTGGTCTCTACAGAATTATTGCTTCTTCCCAGCCAGCGACATCATGTTGGTGACAAGGATCCTTTGAGGGCAGTAGTACCAAAGCAGGAAATGTTACCCTAGATTAAGAACAGCTTTTCTAGAAAGCTTACAGAATGGTGGACCAGAGGACGGGAGTTTGTTCTGCTGGCGAGCTCTGTGACCCTGGGCCATGGCTTTAGCTCTCTCACTTCTAGAACAGAACAGCTAATTATTTGCTGCACATGGTGGTAAGCATTGGATGTACGTCATCTTGTTTAATGTTTCAAGTTGTAAACACAAGGGGCACAAACTCCATACATAACCGTTAAAGTCCTTTTCTAGCTCTCTTTGGAGTTCCTTTCTCCTTGATTTGTCATTTCAAAGGCACAATTAAAACTGCTGTTAATCTTGTGACCAGCTTATGACTGAAGCCAGGCCAAGGTATGGTTATCTCGGTTTGAAGCCATGTGGTAGGGCTGGATCTGCCATTCCTGCTTTCCTGTTCTTCCTGACCTCTGTGGTATTACAGAATTTGGGGGCATGGGATGGCTGCTCAATGGCTTCACCATGATCCCATTTGTACAAATCCTAGCTCAGGTTTTTGCTTCCGTTTCTTTGCCTCAGTCTAGGACTGCTATGAGGAGCCAAAGGATCGAGGCTAGAAGAAGTGAGGAACTAACCTCACTCTGAGAGAAAACCATGGTATGTCTGCCACCTCAGCTAAGCCTTACAGTAAAGAGCACCAAGGATTTTGCAAGGACTTCTGCTTTTAATGTATTTATTATTGACTTATTTCTGAAGATCAGTAAAATGATACACTCAGGTGGTCTTTTTCAGCTCTAACATCCTAAAATTCTCTTTGGTCCGAGTGCCTTCGGAGTCTGACCTAGACCACTGTCCCCTGGGGCCACGCAGCTCAGCAAGGTACCAACGTGACCAGGTGCTGGCTGGCCAGCCTGTTGGCAGGAGCCCTTCTGCCCCTGACCTCCCTGCCGTTCTCTTGTTTTATAGATGATGAGCCAGGTGGAAGGGCAGCAGAAGAACCTAGTGCACGCCATCGAGTCCCTGCCAGGCTCTGGCCCCCTCACTGCCTTGGACCAGGACCTGCTGCTCCTGAAAGCTACCTCTGCCGCCACCCTCAGCTGCCTCGGGGAGTGCCTCAGCCTGCTGCAGCAGAGTGTGCACCAGGGGGCTGCCCCCAGCCACAAGCCGGGGCCCTCAGGTGGGACAGCTCAGGGTGAACCCTGCCTAGGCTCGTGTGTGTGTGTGTGTGTGTGTGTGTGTGTGTGTGTGTGTGTGTGTGTGTGTGTGTGTGTGTGTGTGTATGGCTTTCTGCCTATAAATCCATTCATTTCTCCACTGGCCATCACCTGTCCTTTTATCCCAGTATATCTCCATTTGTCTTTCCATTCACCTTTTTTCCCTCTCTTCCCCCAGCTTGAGATCTCCTTTTTCTTACACAAATTAAAATGTAACATTCTATGCAAATTTTTACATGGTTACACAGATAACTATGAACTGCTTTCACATTCGCTGTCATCACACATGTATCTCATCCCATTGGTGGCTCTGGCACCCAGCATTCTGTCTTTCACATCTGTCCCTCTGTGCCCTTCTGCATTTCTCTGGTGTGTGTCTAGCACAGTTGACCCCTGTGGTGACCATCACACACAGCCTCTTGCCACCTGCTGCGGGAACATCCTTGAGCGGGTTCCCTCAGGGACCTGTGTGAGGGTTTCTCTGCAGCCCATGCAGGAACATTTTAAATTCTTACCCAGAAGCCAGAGATGCCTTAGAGGAGGAGGGTTTAACCAATAAGCAGATAGAAAGATATTAATGAAGATTAAATTCAGTAGTCAGAATAGCGTAAGGTTGGTCATGTCATATATAATTATACAGAATTATAATTAACAGAACAACAGAAACTTCATTGAGCTTTGTTGTCCAGGGGTCACTTAATGAATGAGATGGGCAGCTTGGGGCACCAAGCATAGCGAGGTCAGGAGTGACAGTCTGTGTCACGCGTTCTTCCAGTGCCTCTCGCCCTCTGTGCCACTAAAGATTAAAAGTGTGGTTGGTGTTTCAGAGGAGACTGTGTATACTTTGGATTTCTTGCTGTGACAGACACCCACCATTGTTTACTGAGCCTGGTCCTGCCAGTGCTTGGCCTTTACCACATTTTTTCTGAAATCCTTTCAGGGAGGACACATGTTACCACATCAGCTCTTCAGATAGAGTCAGTGCCTGCTAGCATCACTGTTCTCTTAGGACAAGAATATATTTATTTTATTTTTAAATTAATTTCATGTTAACATGGTAGCATGCACCTGTAATCTCAGTTCTCTGGGATGCTGAGGCAGGAGGATCACAGGTTTGAGCCCAGCTCCTGCAGTTTAGCAAGACCCTGTTTCAAAATGGAAAAACTAAAAAGGAGCCAGATGTGGTGGTGCCTGCCTGTACTCCTAGCACTCAGAAGGCTGAGTCAGGAGGATTGACATGAGTTTGAAGACAGCTAGGGCTTCATAGTGAGTTTAAAGCCAGCTTGAACTACATAGCAAGATCCTCTCCCCCAAAACTAAAATAGAAAGGGTTGGTGATATAGCTCAGTGTGAAGGCCTTGCCAATCCCCACTTCCAAAGAAGAAAACTCTGGGCTTCAGAAAGGTTACAGCAACGGTGTGGAATATTCCTGTATAACCCTCTCCAAATTCCTTGAATGGTGACGTCTGAGACATTTGCACCAACATCATTTTTCTCTCTTCTTATAAAGCATATTGTTATTTGTTAACCATATTGCAGATGTGACTGCTTTTCCCTCTTAAATACTTTTATGTGTATTTCCTTTAAAAATGACATTCTGGGCTGGGGATTTAGCTCGGCAGTGCTGCCGCCTACCTCGAAAGTATAAGGTCCCAAGTTCAATCCCCATTACCAAAAAAAATAAAAATAAAAATAAGTAAAATTGACATTCTCTGGTATAGACAGTGCCATGGTCAAGATCACTAAATCATCATAAATACTGCCCTGTCCTACCCTAATCTCTAGATCCTGCTACATTTTGCCACTTTTCTCCTAATGTCCCTTACAAACGAAAGAAAAAAACCTGTGGTTCACAGTCCAGTGTTGGAGAGGATGTGTATGAGTTCGTGTGACCCCAGAGCAGGAGCCCAAACCTGCTTTCCTGTCCTCTCCCTTCTCTGCTTGAAGAATGAGTGGCTCCTCAGTTGAACTCCTGATGTGGGTGGAAGCTCTGCTACTCCCCCTGGGGCAGGCTGGAACCAGTCAGCCTGGGAACTTTTGGGTGTCTCAGCCCTGCTTGTTAACTTCAGGCTCTGCAGCTGAGTGGGTTCGTATGAATTTGAACTCTTTTCTTATTCCTAAAATTAATTCTTTTTTAAAAAAATATAACTTCAGGACTAGTTTTCTAGCAGACTCCCTTTGTTCTGTCTGGTTTTCACTAAATCTCTGGTGTTCTTAAGGGCCCAAAGGGACAAAGCTCAGATGATGTAGGTCCTGATGTGGTGACCGGTTGAAAGTGACACAGGTATTTGGGAGGAAGGGAAATGAGTAGTGTCCCGAAGTCATGTTGTGTGAGGTGTTACTGCCTTTGTGTTCTTCACACCTATCCCTGCTGGTCCATCCTCCCTTCTTTTTGGCCATTTTCATCAAGGTATTTGGCTGAAAGGTGGAGAGCAGAGAGATCCGGGAGAATCATGTCGATTGATTTGCCTTCTCATTTTCTTGACCCATTATCAGTTATATCCTCCTAGCACAGTAGCCCCGTAAGTTTTGAAATGGTGTGTGTTAAATCTATGCCGAACACTGGGGAAGAAATTGAAGTATTTCTTGCATCCCAGTCATCGTAGTTGCCCAAAGGTTAAAACAGAATTCCAGAATCTCAAGCTGAGTGGACAAAGAGAATAAGGTGAACCTCAGCACATTGACAACAAGGTATTGGCTGACAGTCTCTGGGCTCTCCGGGTCAGCTGGTAGCTGCCAGCCACACACTGATAAGACGCCTCTAAGAAGCACCTGACTAGGTCGATGGAAGTCAGAATCTCATTACAGTGAAATTTTTTTAGGGTTTGATGTTTAGTGGCAGGTGGCCCGTGGAACCCTCAGCTTACCAAATATCCACATGCATTGCTCTTGCTTGGAATGTCTTTGCTGACTCTGGCCTTCTTTATTTTTTGGCCCCTTTTCTGAATCAAAAGTGAATTAATGTGAGGTCTGCAGTATTTCATGTTCGGTAACATTTTGTTGTGTCTTCTGGGAAGATTGTTCGCTTTGGAGCCTTTGTCTGCAAATGCTCTCTCTTGTGCTCATAGCTTTTCAAGCACACTGAGCGACTGGGCGATGTCTGGAAATACTTCAGTATGCATCTCCCTCCCTCTTATACATTTGTCTTCCAGAACTGTCTCTGATGTTATCTTTAAGATACACCGGGTCTGAAGGGCTTCTGTTTACGGAGAGATTTGTAATGAAAATTAATAAAATAATCTTGCCTTTTGGTCAAGGCTTACATTAAGCAGCTCCCTTACCATTTCTACTAAATCTGCTTCAGCAGCTTGATGGAGGCATACTCTTAGCTGATGGGGCCAGAGTGTGTGTTTTCCCAGCCTAGACGTGTACCTCCACGGCTGTGAGAACAGGCCATGCTCAGAGCTGAGAAAGCCTGTGCCACGGGGTGCCTGGGCTCTAGGTGAGTGACCAGTGTAGGTGGAATTCATAGTAATTTGGGGGTGCAGAGTACTCTTACCTGTGTTTATTTTCAGGTTGGTTCTTTGCTTATAGGCTTCATTCCACGGAACAGAGTTTAAATTCAGAGCAGTTGGGTGTAACCAGACAAGTTTGATATAATGCCTGGGAAGGGCCTGGGCATTAACAAGTCACGCATGGGAGAGGATGTTGGGGTCCAAACTGTCAGGACAAATGACGGAGATCCCTGGCAGATAGCAGTGCACGACATAGGTGCCCTTGGACGTGAATGAGAGGCCAAGAGATCAAGAGACACATGACTGAAGGGAGGCGACCCAGGCAGGATTGAGAATGCCTTCTTTGACTCATCCCTCCATCACTGTTTTGCTCTTCTGTGAGATTTGTGGGGAGTATCCGTTATTAAGCCAGTTTTGTTGAAAAAAGAATGAAGTGACGCTGCTGTAGGAATCTTCTTGGCTTTTCTGGCCATTTGTTCTCCTTCCTCTGCTAGCTCCACTTCTTTCCATTTTTTCTCTTCTGCCACTCTGAGCCTTCTATGCTTTTTCCATCTCTGCCCTTCGTACTTGATACCTCCTGCTTCTGGTAAAAATTGTTCCTACCACTTAGGGTCACCTTCCTTTATTTTATGATTAAAACTCCAAGATAGAAATGTGATAATTCCTTCACTAGAGAGGATCAGGGGAGAAGAGAAAAGCTAGAATATTTTAGATGGATGGATTAAAAAAAAAAAAATCTCTAGGAAAGCCGGGTGTGATGATGTATGTAGTCCCATAGTTCAATCATACTCAGGCAGAAGGGTCACAGGTTCGATTCCAGGTTGGGCAGTGCGGGAGGTTTAGCAATTTTGGGAGACCCTGTCTCAAAATTTAAAAAGGGCATGAGGATGTTACTCAGTGTAAAGGCCCTGGATTCGATCCCTAGAACTGCAAACAACAACAAAACAAAAAGAAACTCGAAACAAAGTTTTTGAGTGGCGGCTTCTCCCTGAAGAAAGCGGTTGGATACTAACGTTCTGGTTTCCCACTGCAATATGCCTTATTCTTTCACAAGTTCATACATTCCCATCTTACTGGTGCTGTATTTTTGGAAAAGCCTCTGGATTTACTAAAGCTGGGAGGTGTGGTGGAAGCCCAGTTCTGCAGGAAGAGGGAGTCTTTTGGGTGCTGGGTTGTCACATCCTCCGAGCAGAGGCCTGGCAGCTCTTAACATGCCAAGCCTTAAACTGGGCCAAAGACAGATTAAGACAATTCCAAGCCAGATCTTGGCCCTTGAGAACTGGTGTTTTGTTAGTCTCCTTTATGCTTTTGTTTCTGTTTTTCTGTAGAGCTTTTTTTTTTCCTCTATTTTGCTACACAGATTTTCTTCCTTTTACATTTCTTCTGATGTTTTAGGGGGAAAAATACGATTTGAAACATGCACACTTGAGTGGTTGCATTGTTTTTCATGACCGTCCTTTACCCTATATTTTGTAGTCATTAAAGTCAAGGATGATACACTACTTCTTGAATCTTTCCTGTAGTGATGAAGATTGGGTATATTTTAACTTCCTCTGCTTCCCCAATCCATTTCCCAAGTTTTTGGTGCTTTAATGTGTGGGCCCTTATTATTAATTTGGGACAGTGTTGCATATCAGACCCAGGGCCACCTGCTGCCAGCAAGCACTCTACTGTTAATATTTTAAGTTAGTATGCAACTTATAATGACTGATTTCTCTTAAAATCACTCTGAGCTGGGTATGCGCACACCTGTTATAATCCCAGTGCTCTGAGAAGCTGAGGCAGGAGGATCACAAGTTTGATCCCATACTGGGCAATTTAGCAATTTAGCAAGATTCTGACAAAATAAAAAAGGGCCAGGATATAGCTCAGTGTAGAGGCCCTGGATTCAATCCCCAGTACCACCTTAAAACAAAAATAACTTTGGTATTGAATTATATAATCATATTTAGAGAAATTATTCCTAACCTATTCCAGGCTGGGACTAGCATGTTATAAATGAGGCACTAGCCATGACTGCAGAATTTAAGGGGTACCAAAAATCTCAGTATTTTAAAAATGTTACTTTTAGGGCCAGGGATTTAGCTCAGTGGTTCCGTCACCTGCCTGGCAAGTGCAAGGTCCAAAGTTCGATCCCCCAGTATCCCCCCCAAAAGTTACTTTTAACATAATGTGTTTTTAAGCGAAAAGAAATGCCAAAAGAATCCATGATGAACGAAACAGCAGAATTCTACATAAAGACCATGTCTTAGCTAAGGCTCTTGTAACCAAAAACTATAGACTGGGTGGTTTAGCAGAAAATTCTCTCTCAGTTCTGGAGAATGCAAGTCCAAGATCAGGCTCCTGCTGGTGTGGTTTCTGGCGAAGTTGCTGTCTTGGGCTTGGCGGTGCTGTCTTCTCCCTGTGTCTTCACAGGGCCTGTGCTTGCTGTGTGCATGTGCAGGACAGCTCTGATTTTCACTTCTTTGTCTTTTATGGTGGCGCATGGCTAGAATCCCAGCACCCTGGCAGCTTGGGGCAGGAAGACTGCAAGTTCAAACCCAGTGTAGACAACGGGGCGGGAGAGAAGGGGTCACAGCAGCTAATTTGATTGGATCAGGCTCCTTCCTCTAAAGGCCTGACTCCAAATTTAGTCAAATTGGAGGTTAGGACCACAGCATATGGATTTGAAATGGGGCGGGGGAGCAGGATATAAATGAATATTCAGCCCATAGCAGAAAGATCCATCGGGGTGGACATCAGGGTGAGGTAAGTGAGGCTGAGTCCCGGATGGCCTCCCTCCCTCCCTTCCCTCTTTGAATTTAAAAGTCTGTGTTTACACACAATTTGCTTGGATACTGCATTTGCCAGTGCACCAGTTATTCTGGGCTGAGGTGTCTTCTGGCGTGGCTCTCGCCCTGGTCTGCCCAGCTCTGTGCTTTTCTGAGTTTATTGCTCACCACCAGTACTTCTGTACATAGCTCCTGTTCCCCACCCCAACCCTTTTTCTTGGTACTGGGGATAGAACTCTGGACCTTGTGCTTGTGAGGCAGGTGGCAGTACCACTGAGCTAAATCCCTGGCCCTGTGACTTCTGATTCTTGATGTCTTAATTTTTGCTTTTCTTTTTGTGTTTGGAGTTTCTGTAATCAGAATCCCAAAAGAATATCAGACCATGTATTGGTGTGAGCTTGAGCTGGTTGACTTTACTGGAATGTGGTGGGTTGTTTCCCTCCCTCCCTCTTCCTTCCTTTAAAAAAAAAAAAATCTTTAAAAGAAATGATACCAGGGGCTGCTACTTGAATGATTTTTTTTCACTTAGAAAAATATACATAATGTAAAATTTGCCGCCTTTTTTTTTTTTTTTTTTTTTTTTTTTTTTTTTTTTT